TCTGGTGCACCTTGCTTCCCTTCATACTTTGATTTGTCTACTGTGGTTTTTGAGGTTTCGAAGGTATCCTGAGTCTTTCCATTTGTTCAAGTATCTCATGAGCCTGAAAATATCAGCCTCTGGGACTGAGTTAGGGTGGTACTATGTCGCTCCCAAAGAGAGTAGAGTCTTGTCTTACCCAAAACTTGGGCGTTTCAGGGACTGGACTAGAAAGTTCTTCTGGATGAGGGTGCCTTCTAATTTTGCTCCTCCGCGTAATTTCAGAGAGATTCGCACCAACATAGTTGGGGTCACAATCTCTCCCTCTAAACCTGCTCGTGAGACAGAAGCTTTTGAAGCTCTGTAGGGAGCAGGGACAGGTGACTCCAAGTTTCCCAAGGTCTGGCTGCCCAATTCTATTTACATCGTGGGTAATGAGCAGCTATCTGCTATGTGTTTGTGTCGTACACATGAGTCTGGTAAGCTTTTTCTATCTTCTGCCTTTTTTCTGTTTTATGCCTTTTCTTCTTTCTTTATTTTTTTTTGACTTTTTGTCATTTTGCGTTTTTAGGCTATGACAAGTTGGACAAACGCATGCTCGGGCTGGCCGATAATTGGAAGGACCCTCTGACTTCCACACTTGAGAACCCTCCTCAGCTCTTTGATACGCGGGAGGTGTTTGCGGGTTCCATGAAGGGCGAGGTGCGTTTGGCTCCTGCTGAACTGCTGGTTGTTGTTGGCACTGTGGCTACTAGCAAGCGTCCTGGGTCCAGCCGCGCTAAGCCTGAGCCTTCGTCTTCTACTGTTGGGAGTAGGCGTAATGCTCGTCCTGCTCCTCAAAAGGTGGCTTCAGATTCCGAGGCGTTAGTGGCGCCTGCTGCTTCCCTTGAGAAACAGTCTGTCGCGGCTTCCGGCCGGGTGGCACCTCAGACTTCTACTGCCAAAAGGCTACGTGAACAAGCTTCTGAAGAACCAAAGGCTACTGCCGATGATTTTGCTGATAGTGTTCTCCAAATTCTTTCTGAGGGGACTGAGACCACTGCTGCGGGTGAAAAACCCATTTCCACTGCTGAGCATATTCTGCTCTTTCCTACTCTTACTGATGATATTGCTGTTGCGAAGGGCACTGTCGTTCCTTCTATTGCAGCTACTGATTTTCAGCTCCCTGATGAATCTATTTTGGAGCTTCCAAGGTTTCCGCTGCGTCCCTACGGGTTAAGGGGGCAGCTCCGAAGTGCTACCCGGGGTGCGCTCTCCCGAGCTACGGGCTCTTTTCAGCAGAATCGTCCAGTGATTGACCTGGAGGACGATCCTGTGTCTTCTGCCCCTGCTAGGGATGAGCTAGAGGCGAAAAAGGCTCGTACTTCTCCTGGCCTAGACCCTCTTGCTTCCACGTCTGCTAACACCTGATTTCCAGATGGGAACGCTGGTGGGGGAGACACTCAGAACTCTAGTGAGCTTAACCGCTGCGTTCATCAGTTCTTGGGTGATTCCTTTGAGAATCCTCTTTCTGTGTCCTCACTCTCTGCTAGAGGGACTTTTCGCCCTACTGGGGCCATTGAGTTTGCTGAGGTCCTTATTGATATTCATCTTCGCCCAATACTCTGTCCTTCTAGAGCTGAGAACGCTCCCTTTCGGCCTTTGATGAATGTGAGGGCTGATGAGTCTTTTTTTGTAGACGACCCTCAGAAGGGTGGTACTCTAGGATACCGCCTGACTCAGGGGGTTCGTCTCCCTGCAGATTCTACGCGCAGCTCAGTCAGCCTTCCAGCAGCTACCGCTTGCCATGATTTGCAGAAGGTTAGCCTCTGCTTTTGGCTTTTCTTTTTCTCATTTCAGCTTTTCTTTGCTTGTTTTGTTGTTGTTGTCTTGTTTTATCTATTATTATACTTTATTTTTATTATTATATATTTTTTTATATTGTAAACTTCTTTGGTTAACTCCCACTTTGGCTGACCCTTCTTTTCTGCTTTTCTTGCAGCTTGTTATGTCTGTGGGGGATTTGTCCAATGCCTTGCTGTCGGTGGAGAAGGAATATCAGAACTAGGGTATAACTCTTTCACAGAAGACTCTGGAGGTTCAGCAGGCTCAAGCTGAGAGAGATGCTATGGTCAATGAGGTGACTCCGCTGAGGGAGAAGGCGAATGCCTTGCAGCTCCGATTGGGAGAATTTCAGCTTACTCAGACCAAGCTGAAGGATTGCGAGGAGCATTTGGGGACTTCTCAGGCCAGGGTGAAGACGTTAGAGGCGGAGGTGGCAGATTTACAGGCTGCGCATGTTGTTGCACTGGAGGCTGCTAGGAGAGAGGCTCTCAAGTCTTTTACGCTCTCTCCTGCTTTCGCTAAGCTCCTGGCTGACCGCCGTGATGGAGGATGGGAAGCTGCGGCTCGATGCGTTTGCAGCTTGTATGGTGAGGGTGAAGAGCAGCAGGCTCACTTTAACGCCTTCTGGGCTAAGGTTGAAGCTGCCGGTGAGGCTGGTTTGTTCGATCTTCTCGCTGATCACCCTCGCGCTGCTGGCTGCAAAATCCCCAACCACGTCGTGCTGAACTTGGAGGTGCCTCTCTGCCCTGACGTTGCTGCAGCTACTGGAGTGGAGTCTCTAACTGATGATCAATAAAGGTTATGGCGGCTGTCACCCTCCTACTCCAGTGGTTCCTCTGAGTTTCCCTCACCAAGATCTGTTGTAACTAGGTAGTTTTTGTTACTATCTTTGGGGTGTATAGCTGCCAAAGATTATGTTCCTCTGTGTATTTTCAGAATACTTTTTCTTTCGTTGCTGGGTCTGTCCAGCTTAACTTGAATTTGTGATCTTCTAACTTTACCCGCTGAGTGTTTCCTTGTCCTGGTGGATGAGGGCTCAACTTTATTTGTTTTGTGACTGACCTGCTGGATGTTTACTCTGCCTTGGTGGGCAGGGGTTCAGCCTTATAATGTATGCTCTTTATGATCTCCTCTTGTTGTTTTTCTTGCTGTTTATTTCATTTTCTGCGTGTTTGCTCTTTATTACATTTAATGTGGCCTCATAGGTTGGGCCTTCCTGTCTTTTTAATTTAGCTGCCTAGCGCTTTTCTGTTTCTTTTGCGCTCTGCTGTGCTTCAGCAGGGACTTTGTTACACTTCGTCCTTCCTGCTTTATCTGCTTCAAGTGTTTGCGCGTTGTGTACTTCACTTGGCTTTGACCAAAGGCTTCGTCTGCGTGTTGGTGGATATATTTGATTTAGGGTTATTCGACTTCTCCTTGCTGAGACTTGTTTGTGTCGATCAGCTTTTTGTTTTTTTTGTCTGTGTCACCAGCTTGCTTTGCTGTGACTTATTTTCATCATTCAACTTATTTATGCTGCGACTTGTTTATGTCGTTCGGCTTGTTTATGCTGTGACTTATTTATGTCATTCAGCTTATTTATGCTGCGATTTATTTATGTCGTTCAGTTGTTTATGCTGCGACTTATTTATGTCATTCAGCTTATTTACGCTGCGACTTATTTATGTCGTTCAGCTTGTTTATGCTGCGACTTATTTATGTCATTCAGCTTGTTTACTGCCTGCTTACTTCTTTTTGTAAGGGCTTACTGCTTGACCGTCTTCTCCTTTCCTCCCCCCCCCCCCCCGAAGAGATGGGCTGGATGGGACTAAGAGAACCTTAGTGTTGCCCATGCAGCTCATCTTCTTATTTTCATCTCTCCTCCCCTGCTCAAGCTGAACGTGTCTGGCCCCCACTCAGGCGTCCCCGAGGTGGTGCCCTGTTTTTCTTTTTGCAGGTGAAGCGAGGTTTTAAGGAGGGATGCTTTCACTTTGTCATTTTGCGCTAGAGTGCTTCTTGCCTCTAACACTATTATTATTCTTGTTTGATTTCTGCATGTTAGTATATGAAGCTTGGGCATACTATATTAAACAAATTTACGCAACATACTCCTCACGTAGAGGCTTGTATTTCATTGAACAAAAATGTCTCAAATGCCTTAACTAACACATGATGGACTGAATAGAGATTTATCAACTTGAAACAACTATGTTTCCGGCTATTTAAACAAAATATTTCTTTAACACATCAGCATTGAAACCGTTTCTTAAGACCTGACCTTCTTGATCTGCAAGGAGGAACGCGCCTGGTCCAACCTGCTCGTGGATGATGAAAGGAACTTCCTAGTTTGCTGACAGCTTTCCATGCTGATTTCCTCTTCCAACTGTTGCTGTCCTCCTGAGGACTAAGTCTCCTAGCAGGAGCTCCCTGTGCTTGACCCTTTTGTTGAAAGCTTTTGAGATCCTGCTCTTCTGGGCTGCCACCTTAAGGGTTGCTTTTAGCCTTACTTCTGGCAGGAAGTCTAGCTCTTCCAGCATGCGCTTGTCATTTCCTTGTTGCTCATAGTGTTGTATCCTTAGGCTGGGGATTTGCACTTCCACAGGGACAACTACATCAACCCCGTAGGCCAGGGTGAAAGAGCTTTTACCGGTTGACTCCTTCTCAGTGGTCCTATTTGCCCACAAGACCTCTGGGACTAAGTTTGCCCACAGGCCCTTGTACTCCTCCAGCTTCTTCTGTAGGGCTGTCAGGATCAGCTTGTTTGCTGCCTCTGCTTGGCCATTGCTTTGCGGGTGGCAGACTGAGGCACTTGCATACTTGGTGCCCATATCTCCCAAGTAGTCCTTTATGGTGTCATAGTCAAATTGGCACCCATGATCAAAGACTATGCACCGTGGCACCCCGAATCTAGTGATGATGCTCTTCCATATAAATGTTTTGACCTGGGTTGCCTTTATGTACTTGGTGGGCTCAGCTTCTATCCACTTTATAAATTAATATACTGTCACAATGAGATACTTCCTGCCCGCCGACCCAGTGGTGAAAGGTCCCAATATGTCCATTCCCCACTGAGCGAACGGGATCGGGCTGAGGATTGGAGTCAGATCGTTTGCTGGCTGATTTATGACTGGTGAATATTTTTGACACTTGTCGCATTTTTTGACATATGCTAGTGCGTCTTGCATGAGAGTTGGCCAATATGCCCCTCTTCTAAGGACCTATACTCCCAATGCTTTCCCGCCGATATGGTTGGCACATATTCCGAAATGGGCTTCTTCCATAATGCCCTCCTGCTCCCATTCTAGAATACACCTCAGCAGCGGCTTTGAGAAGCCTTTCTTGTTTAGCTCTCCATTCATCACTACATACCAATTTGCGTCTTTCTTCACCTTTTTAGTCTGTGCTTCATCATCGGGCAGCGAGCCTTGAAGTTTGTATGCCAAGATGTCTGAGAACCAGGCTCTTTGACTCCTGACGCAGTTTACCTGCTCCTTTTCAGCGATGCTGCTCTCCTCTAACACTTCGACCATCATTATTCTTATGAGACTTTCTAAGGTGGAGCTGGCTAACTTAGATAAGGCATCAGCCTGAGAGTTTCCTGCTCTAGGGACCAAGTCTATTTGGAAATGGACTAGCTGGGCTGCCAGCTCTTTCACTTTGGTTACGTATTTCATCATAGTGGCTTCCCTTATCTCATACGCCCATGTAGTCTGCAGGTGTACTTTGCGGGCTCCGGCTGCGAGGCTCATACGCAGGTCTGCCAGCGTCGCCTCGTACTCTGCTTCATTATTAGACGCTTTGAACTTGAACTTGATTGTATACTCAAATACGTTTCCTTTTGGAGACGTCATTATGACTCCTGCCCCACTCCCCGTTTGGGCTGAGGATCCATCCACTTCCACCTTCCAGACCCCAACGTCATCCTCTTTCTCCTCGTAGGAGGCTTCCACTGTGAAGTCTGCTAAAGCTTGTGCCTTGATGGCTGCTCTAGGCTTGACTTCGAATTCATACTCAGAAAGATCGATTTCCCACTTTAAGAGTCTACCCGATGCATCCATCTTTTGTAACGCTTTCTCCAGCGGGTGGTTTGTGAGAACCTCTATTATATGCGCGTCAAAGTATGGTTTTAGCTTTCTTGCTGCTGTGACCACTGCGAAGGCTAGCTTCTCTACCAGGGGGTATCTTTGCTCTGCCTCGGTCAGCACGTGGCTCACGAAATATATCGGCCTTTGTTGCTTCTGTCTTTCTACCAATAGGGCGGCTGCGATTGTCTGTATTGGCGCTAAGATGTACAACTGCAGCTTTTCCGTCAGCTCCAGGCTGATCATTGTTGGGAGCTTAGTCAGATGCTCCTTAATACCCTCAAAGGCTTCTTTCTCCTTAGTCCCCCACTTGAATTCTCTGTTTCCTTTCAACAGCTGATAGAATGGCAAGGCTATGTCTGCTTACTTGTTGATGAATCTGGTTAGTGTGGCCATTCTACCTGTCAACCGCATGATATCTTTGATGCTCTTAGGCTCGAGCAGATTGAGGACTGCTTCGACCTTTTCTGGGTTGGCATCTATTCCTCTCTCGCTGATCAGAAAACCCAAAAACTTTCCGTAGCTCACTCTAAAGACACACTTTTTCGGGTTGAGCTTGAAACTATACTTGTTCAGGGTGGCAAATGTTTCCTCCAGATCCATGATATGTCCAGCCTGCGTGACGCTCTTAACAATTGAGTCGTCAACTTATACTTCCACATTTCTTCCCTTCTGGTGAAGGAATACTCTATCCATTGCCTTCTGAAAAGTTGCTCCAGTGTTCTTCAGCCCGAAGGGCATAGCTGTATAATTATACACTCCCCCTTCAGTAATGAATGCAGTTTTCCGCCTGTCTGGCTCGTGCAGGCTGATCTGATGGTACCCTGAGAAGGTGTCCATAAAGCTTAGCAGGGCGTGCTCGCTTGTTGAGTCTACCAGTTGATCTATCCGTGGCAGTGGGTAACAGTCCTTCGGGCAGGCTTTATTAAGATTTGTGAAATCTACACACATTCTCCATTGGCCATTTGCCTTCTTCACCATGACCACGTTGGCTAACCATTCTGGATAGTCACAGGGTTCAATAAATCCTGCTTCCAAGAGTTTTTCCACCTCTTCCTGGATTGCTTGGTTTTTCTCCGTGGAGAAGCTTCGCTTTTTCTGCCTGACTGACTTAATATCCTCCTTCACATTCAGCTTATGCACCATGACTGTTGGGTCAATTCCGGGCATCTCATCTACGGAAAATGCAAAAATGTCTTTATTCTTTCTCAGCAGCTCTATGAGGTGCACCCCTACTCCTGGATCAATGTTTTTTCCAATCTTCACCGTCCTCGAGGGATCACCTTATGTGAGCTCAACTGTGACATGCTCCCCGCTGGGAAGTGTTCTGGTCATTTCTTCATTTGCAGGCTCAAAGTTTTCCATTGCCAACTTCTGTTTATCTTTTTCCCTGTGGTACTCTTCACGCTTCCTTTTCCTTGACTTCCTCTCAGGTTGCTTAGGGAGCCTTCTCTCGGAACCGGACTGCTGTCTGGTTTTGGTAGGCTGCTTCAAGGCAGTTATGTAACATTGTTGGGCTGTCTTCTGGCTTCCCCTGAGCTTTGCTGACCAACCCTCATTAGTTGTGTACGCCATGGCCAGGTGGTAAGTGGATACCACCCCACCTATCTTGTGGATGAGCGGTCTTCACATGATTACATTGTAGGGTGAAGGGGAGTTTATGACGAGAAATTCTGCTCGAACATCACGTCTTTTTGACCTCTCTCCTACCCGGACTGAGAGTTCGATTATGCCTTCTAGGGTAAGCCCCGAGCCATTAAACCCGGTGACCTCGTAGTTTACCCTCTTCAGGTCTTTTCTGTCCAACTTTAGCTCATTGAACGCACTGATGTATATGATGTTGGCTGAGCTGCCTCCGTCTATCAGTATTCTATCCACCTCCCAGTTTGCAATTCTCATTGTCACCACCAGCGGGTCATCATGAGGGTAAATTATGCCCTTCTGGTCATACTCGTCGAACGTGGCTCGCGGCTGCGGGGGAAGAGGCGGCCATCTATGCTTATCATTGTTGTTTATTTGATGTATCATCGCCCACAGGTCAGCCCGCGCTCTATTAACTGTCCCCCCATGTACCGGACCCCCGCTGGTCACGTACACCCTGCCCTCTGGCTTGCCATCTCTATCCTTGTCTCCAGGTGGGTCCCTCTGACCTCCTCTACGGTCAGCTCGGCCCGCTCTATCCTCCTCCCTTCTACTGGGAGGCTCACCACGCTGCTTAAATTGACTCAGGTATCCTCTCCTGACCAAGTCCTCTATGTTGTCCTTCAAGTGCGTGCATTCTTCAGTGGTATGGCCATAGTCCTCGTGAAAGTCACACCACTTACTGGTATCACGACTCCTGTTTACCATCCTTGGAGGCCTTTTCCACTTATCATCAGCCTTATTTACGCTGAATATGTGAGATCTAGAATGGGTTAGTAGGGTATACTGATTAAACTTCCCCGGCCTTGGCCCTACCCCTTCGATCGGACCTTCTCAGTCCCACTGCCCTGTCCGCTTCTCTGCGGTTTTGCTCAACTCTGCTTGGCTGGTCCACCCTGGGTGTGTTCTCTGCCCGGGTGACCTCTGCCCGCTTAACCGAGTCACCTGTTGCTTTCCTACCCAGCATTGCTCTGTCAGTCTCGTCTGCTTTAATAAACTCATGCGCTTTACCCAGCGCTTCAGCGAGCGTTTTGAGGCTTCTACGCCCTATATATGCTCTGAATGTTGACCCTGGCAGTAGGCCACTCTGCATTGCTATTAGTGCTACTTCCTGGCTCATATTTGGAATAGTTGTTGCCTCCTTGTTAAATCTGGTGATGAACTCCCTCAGAGGCTCATCCTTTCCTTGAACCAGGGACATCAGTTCGGTTGTCATCTTGGTTCTGTCCACCAAGGTTATGAAATGCTCCATGAACATTCTCTTCAGCTGGCTGTACGAGTATACTGAACATTTGGGGATGGCGCCATACCATTCCGCTGCCAGCCCCTCCAGAGTTGGTGGGAAAGCCTTACACCAGACTGAGTCCGTCATGGTATAGAGTACCATATGATTCTCGAAAGCTGATATGTGGCTTTTGGGGTGTTATGGTTCCATTGTACTTGCAGCTCGGCATCTTCACCTTCTCCATGGGTTCTTCCAGAATCTCCCGGCAAAATGGGGAATCATCTAGAACAACCTGGATTCGCGCTCGTTTGTCTCTCTCCGGGCTGGGTCCTCGCTCTGCGGCCGGTGAACTACTGCGAGGGACCCGCTTCTCTGGGCTGATTCGAACGGGAGTTATTTCCTCCACGCTCCATTCCCGATTCAGGTTGCGAGCTTCCAGCTCCAATACCTTTTTCCTCAGATGAATGAGCTCTTTCTGCTCCGGGGTGAGAGTTGAGATTTCCGTCTTTTTTGCTGCGGGCTCCGCAGCTGTTGTTGTCGGAGATGGGCTTGCCCCCTTACCCATGTTTGTAAGGATCGCTGTCATTGCAGCCAGCTGCTCCTTGCTGCACTTAGAGAGGTTCTGCAGAATGGTTGGCATGTTCACGGGCTGCGGTTTCTGGGTTGCAGGTGCTGAGACAATAAGCTCATTGTTCGCGCCTGTTAACGGCATTCCATACTTGAAAATAGAGTTGAATCGTACCGGATCTACTGGTTTCGCCGCTGCTTTAACAGTGGCTGATGTCGATCCGATGGGGTTGGATTTATGCGAGATGGTCGATTTGGGGTTTCCGGTGGATCCTTTTGGATCGCTGGTTACTGGGGATGTTTTTTTGTGGTGTTTGGCTGGTCTCATTAGTTTTGGACGTGGGTGTTTATACAGTTTCTTCTCCGGCCATGGTGGTTGGTTAACTAATCCCTAGCTCAGTTGGTGAACCTCAGGTTAGATGATCCAATCCCCTCCTTCTAGCGCCTATTGTTCCAGGTATGGATCCAAGGGTTCTGCTAACTAAGTTGGGTCCCGTCAACAACCTACACATGGTAGCACACGTAAACTGCCCTCGGGGGTGGCTCGAGGAACCCCCCTCCGAAGCTTAAGTTAGAGAGTGTTTAGAGAGAGAAAGTGTACTTAGAGAGATATAGAAAGTGTAATAACTTGAGTGTCTAACCTCTTTTCAGTTGTACTTTACCCTCTATTTATAGGCGTACTATCTCCTTCGTGGAGAGCTTAGCCTGGTCAGCCCTGCGGGCTGACGAGCCCTCCTTTAGTCGCTTATTAAGCGGTGAGTGCGCACCCTGGGGGCTGGGCGATAGTTCAGCGGGAGCTATCCTATACAGGTATAAAGATGGAAATTCGTTGCAAAGAATTTTCATACTGGATTAATAGAAATCAATTCATTGATCTGGGATGTTCGGGTCCAGAATTCACTTGGAGCAGAGGTGTGTCTTCGGCTATTTACAAAGCTGCTCGGTTAAATAGAGGGCCAGTTAATGAAGAAGGGAGAATCTGTTTTGGCGAAGGAGCTCTTAGGAACCTCACAAAAATAGCTTCTGAGCACTGCCCGATTTTAATTAATTCAAATGGTTTTACTCCTCTTCCTATGGCTGTAAAACCATTCCGCTTCCAATCTGCTTAGATAAAGCATGAATCCTTTGAGGAATTTGTGACTATTAAGTGGAATAATAAAATCCCTTTATTCTCTTCCTAGGAATGTTTGCAAAAGAATTAAATACATGGAATAAAGAAAACTTCCATAATATTTTCCGGAAGAAAATGGAATTGTGGGCGAGACTAGAAGGAAATCAGAGAGCTCTAGCTGACAGTGCGCGTATTCATTTATTGAAGCTTGAACAAGAATTAAAGAAAAAAATGAATGAGGTTCTAGAACAGGAATAACTCTTATGGTTTCAAAAGTCTAGAACGGAAGCTATTTGCGATGGAGATAGGAACACTCAGTTCTTTCACATGTCCATTGTTATTCGAAGGCGTTGAAATCAGATTAAAACGCTGCAAAAGAATGATGGAGAGTGGATCATAGATTCGTCCCAAGTAAGAAGCATGTGGTGAGCTATTTGCATTAGTTGTTTTCGGAGGAACCCTCTAATCATGGATGTTCTGACTTGCTGCTCGACTATTTTTCGCATATCACTACGGATGAATGGGAGACTTTGACGAGATCGTTTGCATATTGCAAAATTCAGGCGGCCTTGAGTATAGACTCATATAAAACCCCCGATCCGGATGGCTTTCAACCACTCTTCTATCAGATATTTTGGAGTACAGTAAGTCTAAGTGTTTTGCAAATTGATCGAGCGAGACATTACAGAGGGGCACATCTTCCTTGATAATTTTGCCGAGGCCTTGTATTGATCCCTAAGGTGGAGGTTCCCCAAAAGGCTAATTAATTTAGACCAGTTGGCTTATGCAACATCACCTACAAGATAGTGACAAGGTATTGGTAAACCATTTGAAACCTTTACCTCCCTCGCTGATTTCACCAACCCCATGTAGTTTTGTCCCTCGCCGACAAATTACTGATAACATCATAATCGTTCAAGAAATGTTGCACACTATGCGAAGAAAACAAGGAAAAGTGGGGTTCATGGCTGTAAAAATCGATTTTGAAAAGGCTTATGATCGATTGAGATGGTCATTTATTCAAAAATCTTTTCTTGAATTGAGGTTGCTCCAAAAGATGATTGATATTGTCATGCTTTGCATTTGCTCGACCAAGTTAGTATTCTTTAGAACGGTGAACCCATAGAATACTTTACTCCCTCAAGAGGAATTCGCCAAGGGGATCCTTTATCCCCTTATATTTATGTGGTATGTATGGAACAATTGGCGCATTTAATTGATCGAGAGTTCAGATTGGGAGACTAAAACCGGATATGGCAAGTCCTAATGGTCCACCTATTTCGAATTTGGCTTTCCCTAACGATCTCGTCCTATTTTGTGAGGCAAGTATTGAACAAGCTAGAATTATGAAAAATTGCCTGGATATTATACACAATTTATATGTGATATTTGGTCATGTTTTATTGTGTTTTCTTCATTCTCCTAATCTTTTTGAGCTATTATTCTTCCTATTTTGATATTGCTCTTCTGGGTTTGTTTGTTTTTGTTTTTATAGGAATAGGGCTAGATTTACGTGGAATTTATTTTGATCGCGAGATATTTCTTTATATAGAGCGTTTCTAGCACCAATGGAGCATCAAAGGGAGCATTGTGGCAGCCTACTCCACAACATGGTTGTGGCGTGTAATCTGTTGGCCACAACCTGGTTGTGGGCGTCTATATTGGAGCAAGGGAGAGGCGAAGACAACCCACTCCACAGCCCGCTTGTGGCGATTTTCTTCATGCCACAACCCACATGTGGCAACTCGTTTTGATAGCGTTTAGGAGTCCTATTAAGATAGAAATACCTAGTTTTATGAGAGGATATAAATATCTTTTAGATTGTCTTTTATTGATCACTTTACTTTTTCATATATTATTTTAGACTTTTTGGGTATTACGTTCTTCCATATTATTTTCTAGGTTTTTCTTTCAAGATTCAAGATTTCATAATTAATTCCAACTATTGATTTCTTCTCTCAATTCTTTTATTTTATTATTGTTAATTATGTTTTCTTTATTTATTATCATTCTTGTTTTCATTAATATGTGTGAGTATTTTTCCTATTCCAAGATCTAGCGGAACCCGAATATGAATAATGCTTTATTTAATTCTTTAAATTCTCTAATGATAATTGAAATTGATATGCTTAATTGATTGTGCTCATGCCAATACTAGATTAGGGATAATTGGTATTTTTATTAATCCATTGTTTTATTCGCAATGGGAGTTGGGTTTTGACGGGTTTGAATAAATCAATTAAGGGTTTGAAGTTCATCACGGGAGTAGTTGAATGGATGATTAGGAAGTTAGGGTAATGTGCTCAAGGTCTTTAATTTTCATGATTCCACGGAAGTAGGTTTGATTGTGATTAGGGAAGCCATTGATAAGTCGAGAGCGACCTTTGGTATTATATAGGTATTACTTTTCCTCTTTAATAAAGTGAATTATATGTTAGGGGTAGAACTACTATTGCATAAATTTTATTCGTGGTAATGCTTGATCTTGGATGTTTTTAGTATTTGATTATCGTATTATTTAGTTTAATCATCATTCTTGATATTTAGTTATTAATTCTTAATTATTTGATTTGGTTACTTGCTTAGTATTTACTTGAGTCTATTTAATTATTTGAACCATAGTATCTTGGGATCCGACCTTTGCTTACCCGTCTACATAGTAGTGGTCTAGTTAGGTTTATTTTTGTTAAGTACGCGACACACCTAACATAAACAAATGTTTTTGGAAAATACCTAGGTGTCCCTACTATCAATGGGCGTATGACAAAAAAAATTATCACTTTATAATCGACAGAGTCAATAGCAAGCTGAATGGATGGAAATCTAAGACCATTTCAATTGCAGGTAGAGCAACGCTTATTCAATCCTCTCTTTCGTCAATCCCTAACTATGAAATGCAAACTACTTGGATTCCAAAAGGAGTTTGTGATATTTTGGATTGTAAACTTAGAGGCTTTCTTTGGGGTAGCGCCAAAGAGAAGAGAAAAATGCACCTAGTAGCTTGAGATACAGTTAACAAGCCAAAAGATGAGGGTGGCTGTAGACACCTAAAAATGTCTCCCCAAAACCAAACCCGATGATGAACAACCTTTCACCGCCATTATTGGTCGGGTTGAGTATTTAATTTTTGGAGTGCTTAAATCCATATTTCCATTTCATAAACCAACCCAATTCCTAGCCCATTTCCCCAAACCATAACTTATTTTCCTCTTCTCGTGCCTTTAAACCCAAAATAATTCATTTCGTGTCCTTTAAAATCAGTCATTTCGTGTCCTTTTAATAAAAACGTTTGATCCAGTTTATTTTGGTCCAT